CGATGCAGTTGGGGTTTTCCTCGGCCTAAATGGACACTCCCGCAATTTTGATTGCTAGAACAATTGAGACCCTCCAATTGACCATAAGCCTGCGACTTACAGCACCAATGGCACCACTAATATTCTTCTAGTCAAAGCGGACAGATCTATGAAGAATGCTGATCGTCTTTTTGTTGCACTCGAGGGTATCAAAATCATTAGGGAGTCTGAAAGTCTAGGTCCGAAGTTTAAGATCCTCGAAACGACGAGGGGCACTTGCCGGCGCGTCACCTTCAAATTTTGATTGCAGTCGAGGAATCATATCATCTGGGGAAGTGGCTAACACCAAATCTTCCATTTCTTGTCCTTGACATCCTTTCAGAGGATCTTGACGCTGAAGATATGAAGCATGTCCGCCACCTCTCCATTCTTGATCGACGTTACTGGGCTTTTCTGACATGTTATGAACGGGTTGTAGAGGTGGGCGAAGGCGCTGGGGATTGTTCAAATACTGATCAGGCCTTGGGTGTGTAGGCCGCTAACTGAGTTGTTGGATCGATCTGTAAGAGAGGCAGCCTTGTCTGTGGTTAGGAAGACCTTGTCAGCCATCTTAATCTTCACAGAGATGGGGAACATGGAGACATCCAATGGTTCCATGAGCTCTGTTGCCGGTACTCCTAGTATTACAACTTACTGCGGGCATAAGGAAGCATGTGAGTTGATGGAAAACTTGTTCATCACCGTCGGACGTACCTGGCTCTATCACTTTCACCATCGAGCAAGATCCAACCAGGTGAAGAGATTCAAAGATTGCGCAAGTTCCTGCTGTCTGCGCCAAACCTTTGGTGATGTTGCTTCCTTGCTATCTCAAAGGGTTTCACTTATGGCGCCAGAGTTTCTTTTTGTCATCAAGTTGTTCGGAAATTTAGTCACGAGGCGTCAAGGCTGCGCGAGGAAGCATACGGTACAAATACTAATGGAAGGCTATCTCAGGGGCACCATGAAGGGATCTGAGAACCCGGATCAGAATTGCAAAGAGAGAGTAGCAGAACCGAAAAGGTGGCTTCTGAACGGTCTCCGGTTTCCCTTCAAGTGGGAATTAGCTGTCCGACTGACTGCCAACAAACTTTGGCCTAGCATCTTGAAGCATTCAGCGCGTCCAAATCGACATCGGAACTGCAAGGTTCCTCGTCACAAGCCGAGATGACTGTCGCGTTCACCTCATCCAATCTCGATCAGTGTGTAGAAGTACTACATGCTGCTATCTGAGTTCCGTGGAAGAATAAGCTCATACTCTGATGTAGTCTCGGACCACATCGTCACTGTCCTTCGTCATTAGGTAACATAGTCTAACCCGATGTGAGGCTCATTGCGAATTCCCAACGCTCACTATCACAAACTTCATCATCAATCCTAAAGTTCATATGTATACAGGCTCACAATTCTGCAACTATTAGCCAAAAGTGGCACAGCTCAAAGACAGAAAGAAAACCAGACCGCGCGGTCCAATATTTTCACGAAATCATTCACCAAGTAGAGAAGTCTTGTGCTTTCATTGATATCTCGAGGTTAATCCATGGCTACCAATACTGCCAGGTTATCTCCTCGAAAGACTGCATTATTACACACTTTAAACATCAAAACGGTCCACCAAAACAAAACTGCTTCATGTTTCAACTTTGGGGAATATAAGAAGCTGATATTAGCGGCCGCCACTGTAAATAAAGTCAAGTTCCAGTTACTCTTCAAAAGCAGAATGCTCCGTAACACGGGATAGCTTTTCTTCTGGGCCCATCAACAGGTTGACACCAAGAGATGAGGTTGATCTAGATGATGGAGGGTCAAGCATGATGATACAAGCATTCCATGGCAACATTTCAAGAAGGTGATTGAATCAACTAGCTATCTCTACAATAGACTAGCTCCACAAGTAACTTCATACGTTACTTTGATTCCTCATAGCTTATGTTGACTCATGGGGCTCTCGTAGCCGCCACTGTGATTATGAATGCAAAATTGAACGTGAGAGGAAGGAAGACACAAACGTGATTTACTGCCTGCATGAGATCGCTAGCCACATCCTCGATCATGTCCGTGGTGGGGAACACTGTTCGTGACAGCTAGCTCTAGATGCAAGAACGGTGGAGGATATCAAGAATTCAGATAAGTTAGTGTGAGTCTGTCATGAGAAGAAGCACTTCTCATTCCCAAGATCATTAGGGAATGTATGTCAACGCCATGGATCAATGAATACAGACCGAGCAAACGGCTTGTAGCATATCGGGCCGAACGCAAAAAAACGACAATCAGACAGCTAACGAGGAAAACCCTAAGAAGACCAACCTCAAGACCGAGTTTTAGTAAAGCCTGGAAACACTTTCGGTTAAGTAAATTTTGAAAAAGAAAGATGAACTCTCATAAGGATGGTTAAGAGTCACGCTTTGAGTTTAACTTGAGCCGTTTGCGGCGTTGCCAGGCTCAAACCTTCCAAGAAAACACCCTGCTTGTTGCCGACCTTGACCACAAGCGCATTGCAGAATCGTGAGCATGCTGTAGTAATCATAGATATCTAGTGGACAAGAATATCGGAATGTTTCAATGATAAGTCAAGGTGACAGAATTGAATTATGAAAGACAGATGAGAACACGACCTTGTGAGCTCTATCTTCGAGTCAGAGTTTATCTATGAAGAGGTACACACTTTCCATACCAACCAGACGATGATAGCGACAAGCAGGATTTCCATTGGCAACACGATGAGCCGCTTGAGTCGTAGGCCGTCGTACTCGATCGGAAAAAAGGGGGGCTCGTCAGGTTGATACGAAGGCGCACTTGCTGAATGGCTCTGTGAGAGCGTGTCCGGCGACAGGACGAGTAAATAAGAGACAATTGAGTCGCATGGTAACATAGAAAAGAAGAGGTTTGACATGCTGAGATGAAGCAGTGCGCAAGGATAGCCCCACTGAGCTTGAATAAGGAGACTGCGGAAAACACGAGTGTTTGTTCAAGTCATGGAAGCATCTTGCACAGCTTTCACGCGTGAGGGTGCGCCCCCTCGTGTATTGATCGATACGAGTCATCTTAAAACACGTTAGATGGCAGTCTGGATCATAGCGGAGGTGTGACTATATGCTAAGAAGGCCAGAATGATTGACGAGGTTACCGAGGGGTCCTTGGGAGACCACGAGGATGGAATGGGCTCAAAGAACACGTCTTCTCGTCGTAATAATCTTCTCGATCTTCTTCTTCCCCCGATTTGATCCTTCACACTATGGCCTAGATGACGACCAGGGTACACATGGACTCAGTCTCAATATACTTCGTCATGTCCATGCTCTGGGACAGAGTAAACGAACGACTCAGCATCTACATGCTTGCACCATCTCGTACAGGGGCTTGGCTGTCTTAAACCAGCTACAAGAGCAGTGGCTCTCTCGAGAACATCTGTCCAAGACCACATTATAGCCCATGCAATCTCTTCCGCCTTCGGAACAAGACGGAGTCGTGCCATGTCCGCAAGCGATCGTTCAGGACGACCCTCCTTTAGTTCAAGTAATTCTACATACGAGAGTGCCATGGTTGCGGTGCAGAGACTCCGGCTACGGACATGCAAATGGCCAAACGCGCCAGAGAGTCCTCTACTCGGGTGGGGGCTTGATCAAGGTCTCTGTTGACATACACGTCAGCAGAGCAAGCTCTTTCGGCCGATACGAAGTCCAACGATCGTATTGAACTGCGAGTGTGGTATGGAAGAAGGAAGTTGGAGGGCAAACCCACGACTCCGCCATGGGGCGTAAGTGGGTGTGGAAGAGCTGTTTGCAGCGGCTCGACCACCATCCGAATCCTCTTTTCTGCCATCAATATTCCAGCAGTTTTAGCGCGTCCGCCTCGATTAGTGTGTTTTGACATCAAGCATCTTGACACGATTAATCACAGTGTACGAATGACTTGTGGGTCGTTGGGGTTGGGCCTCGACCATGCCGGCATGTGAACATGGGCACGCGACCTTGTTGCGCGGGCAAATCGTGAACAACATCGCCAATTACAGATGGATCAACGAATGGTCCCTGCCATGTCCAAGTTCATATCGAGATCTTTGACAGCGTCCGCAGTGTTGGATTCGTAGCCGCGTCGTCGCCACTAACAAGTGCAGACGAGAGCTATCAAAAGATTTGGCTGGCATTGGGACAATCCGTTCGCTGACGCATCGTCCTTGCTCTGAGGTCCCGAAGCCTGTTTCGACACGTGGAAGACGATGATTGTCAGGCCGTGAATCGCATTAAGCCATCCACGTTGTGAACTTGCGTGCTCTCTCGACCAGTTGAAGCTCGAGGATGGCGACACTCGTTTTGGCCTTAATGGAGATCCCACGCCCCGCACTGATGGGGACGACGAAAGGTTGTGATGAGGGGATGGCGAACGTCCTGTGCATTGAGGTTGGAAGTATGTGGAGCAGTGATTACTTCACACCCATGATCAATCAATTGCGCCTGGTCAATGCAAACGAGAATATGCAATCATCAGCCCGACACGAACTACCAAGGATGAGCAGCTGAAGCCTGTCAAGGATCGGCAGTCAGTCTGAGCTTCCACAAATGAGCAGATGGAATGCATTGCGGATCCCCAGTTGTGATAATCGCGACCTTGAAATACGGGCAATCAGCGCACCAAATTCGCAGTGCACCTCACTTGCTGGCATGAGCCGAAAGTCGGGACTTGCTTCGACCCAAAGATCTTGCCGCTCAACTCATTTCCGTGCGGGAGACAATCACACGTGAACTACGCGAGTCCCTCTGGGTTGGGTTCCATTTTTTGGCACGGATACTCAACGGATTTGTGAACCGTCCATCTTAGAGAAGGCGACGTCGTGGGAGAGATCATACGTGAAGGAGTCACGGGCGCTCGGTATTCAGAAACCAAGATGGAATCTCACATTTCGAACTTTCCATAAGGTACCTAGACAACGGGATGGGGATACAAAATATCGAACATCCCGCACTACGTCTTTATTCCTACAACTGCCGCTGTCCCTGTTGTTGCGTCCCCAGTTCAATTCTTGTGTATTCCCCCAAGAATAAACCTACTCACAGTGCCTTGGAGAAGAATAATGATGAGAATGATATGGGCCCTGTTGGGAGTGTGTAGCTATTTGTCTCTTGCTTCCGGTCGCGCGCGTACGTTCCGTTATACGGAGAGTGCCTCTTTGATGCCCGACACCAGCCACACCCAACGGAGGGATCGTGGGCCCTGTTCACTTCCTCCTTCCACCTCCATACGCAGTAATAAACACCACTTGATTGACTCTTCGTGCCACCCGTGCGGCTGCACTGCTGACGTGCGTACCAACAAAAAGAAAACAGTTGCGGGAGGAATGGGCTGCTCGTCTTGGAACCCGAACTGCTTCAGGTCGACTTCTGATGCATTTGTATGCGGCTTGCGGTACTTGCGCTCGTACTGGCACTCCTTGGCAACACGAGCGCAAGTACCGCAACTTCTTTCGTCGCGTTGAACAATAAACAATGAAATAAAATAATGAAAACAAATAAAAAAACAAGGAAGCAACGAACCAGAAAAACAGAAAAACAACAAAGCAATAAAATAATAAAACAATAACCAAACAATAACCAAACAAACTCCTCCCATCTGGCACCGTGTCCGCCACCAATCACCACCAGACTGTCCTCCGTGATCCATCTACCATTGGAGACTTCCCAGGGCAACCTTCTGTTCGGATCTTGATTGAGGCTGTTGTGATTGTACATTCCCTTGAAATGCATTGCGTTCGAAATCATGCCTTTCTGCGGGCTCGTTGTTCGCTCGCCCTGGAATTCGAACTGCTTGAGGTCAACTTCGGATGAAGTTGTGTGCGACTTGCGGTATTTGCGCTCGTATTGGCACTCCTTGGCGACACGCTCGAATTACGCGACTTGACCAGGAGACATAACGTTGTCGCCAACGTATTGTCTCAGGAGCAGGAGTTGAGAAATGGCATTGGAGAGCTGATCGGCGATCTTGTCGGGATGACCCTCGCCGGCAGACTCGGGGAATCTTGGCAGTGACCTGAACTTCTTGCCTCACAATCCGTTCCCATGAAGCACGAAGTGGTGCTACTCCTTCGCTTTGAAGAAGGTAATCCGTCGGTGCAGACGCGTGCTGTTGGATTCTGGTCAGTCGTCAGAAGAGATGGATCTGGAAGACGGTTTGGACCCGGGCAGACGGACCCTTCCACCTACTTCCGCTGAGAAATCGCAGGCTCTGCCCACGAACTTCCTCCTTCCACTACGCGCAAGAGACCAATAGAGAACTATTGACCTCGTCGCGACCAAAATGTCTGCCCTGTTGACGTGAATACCAACATAGTCCGTGGGTGCAGACGCTGCATTTGCTCGGGGTTCGTGCTGGCTAAGAAAAGATCCTCAACAGGATCATCTGAAGGATTCAATTCGACGGCAACCCAAGGGCTGTTTCGGAAGTTAGCATGTGTACTCATTGAACGACTTGATCCCTTCGCTTTGACCTACTTTTCGAGCGTAGTGATGGACTAAAGGGTGGTCCGTTGTATGGGTTGCTGAATGAGTTGAGGCTCCTCGGCTGTGACAAGGGATTGGATGTTGAGTGCGACGAGGCTGAGTGATGCGTAGTCATTATCGAAGTTGTCGGTGTCCTGTGAGCTTCCAGCGTCGTCAATGCCGTAGCTTGATCTCTTGGCCTTGGCCTGTTGTCACCCTGATATTCTGCATGGTATACTCCGCCCCAAGAGAGATGTAGAAGAGGTATTGGTGCTAGAAGTGTTGGACTCTGGGCAGCGGTTAGAAAAGGTCTGGTGGATGTGGAAGGCGAATTGGGCCATACAAACAGGTCTTCCACCTTCAGACGCAGCAATAAACACCACTGTACTAACCCTTTGTGCTGACCGTACGGTTACCTTGCTGACGTGCGTACCGAAAAGAAGAGAGGAGATTCAGTGGGATGATGTATGGAATGGTGTGGGGGCTGAACGGCTATTCGGAGGCGTGCTTGTTAGTGGAGAGATGGAGGGGCGAGGGAAACGGGGGAGAGAATAAGAACTGACCAGACTTGCTACAGGTAACCAATGATCAAGAGACCTGACTATTGGGTTCTGGGCAGTCGTCAGAAAAGATGAGTCTGGAAGGGGGTCTGAGACACACGAATGACCTTTCACTTACATACGTAGCAATAAGCTTGCAGCGATGGGCTCTCTCTTTCTCTCTCGGCATTTGGTGTCACCAGAGTGATTGGAGCGGTCGTAGAGGTTTGTTGGTGTTGGCCCATTGTGCAAAGGAAGTGAAGAAATCCAGTGTGGTGACGTGATGGATGCCGTGGGTGTCGAAGGGCTGGCCAGACGCGTGGTTGTTGGTGGATGGATTGAGGGATCTACACTTAAGGAAACGGGGAAAGAGAACGAAAAGTGAATGGAGTTGTTGAAGGAAACAATGACCAAGAGATCTTGCCTTTCCTACCTACCTACCTCAGGAACCGACCTAATCGAGACATGAGGTAGGTATGACTGCAAGAAAGCGGGAGGAAGGTATCCGGCATGTTGTGTTGGACTGGAGGACGGTGACTCCACTGGCACCTGCTTCCTACCTTACCTTAATGTGTGTAAGGTAGCTTGCGACCGTTCTAAGGGTGAGGAACCATGGAAGGTAGCTGCGGTTTACCTTACTCCTCGGAAGGTAGAACTTCCCACACACGAACGGGTGGCATTGTGTTCCCGATAGTCCCTTCACTGGCGCCTGCCACCTTGGAATACTTTGACTGCAAGAAAGTGGAACGAATGGAAGGCACCCGACCCGCGCACCGGGCTGTCACCTGCCACCTACCTACCTTACCTCGCAATCGATCTTGAGGACACCACCTTCCTTGAGCTGCAATTTGACAGGTACTCGGAAGACGCACCATTATATGCGCAGGAGGAATGAGTGGCTTCGTACGTGAGTTCCTTGACTGGCACCTGCCACCTCAAGACTGTCCCTTCTTAGGGTGGGGAAGGGGGTTGTTCAGCTTTCTCTCGGGCAATTTGGTATCGTGGGAGTGATGAGAGCATTTGTAGAGATTTGTCGATAAATGTTTCTTCTTTCCTATCACGTATTTCTACAGCCTCTTGCTGATTGCTTGTGAGTAATTGCTTGTCTTCTCATGCGTCCGGCCGCGTGCGGAATCTTGTTGTTGCGGTCTGTGGAAAGGGACTGGTGGCTCTTCAGAGAAGTCACCTTCCTGCACTTTCCGGCCCCTCAACTCGACTAGGACCTGCCACTTCTTCGTCCACTTTGGGCTGCCCAACCGCGCCCTCAACTTCTGCCTCCTACCCGCTACCTTATCTAGGCAACCTTGGACCTTCTTCATTCAGCATGCCTCGCTCCACTCCCCAACTGGCAAGACCGGGGTTGCCTATCTCAATTTGTGGAGGTGCGTCAGGTCGTTGTTCCCCAAAGCTACACCCCACGTCCGACCCTGAGCTTCCACTTAACCCACACAGCCCCAGTCTTTCCCAGTCGCGTTGAGACAGACCATGACCAGGACCACACAGCATCATACCCAGGAAATCTCTTACCAGATGCAACAGCCCAGAAACTGCAGCCTCAGCACAATGGGGAGTGCGCTGCCCCAGCGTGCATTTTCCCGTAGCCACCTTGCCTTACCTACTGATTGGCACGTCAGCGCAGAGACACTCGTGAGTCCACTGATTACTGACTTGATACATCTGAGCAGTGCAATTGCCGACGCAGAATGTAAGTCTCTTGAATAAGGTATTGCCGCCATCACCGGTCTAGTAGGCCTCGAGGATGCCGTGATCAAGAGGGGAGAAGTCTTCTCGGAACCTGGCGTTGAGATTGCTCATCACTTGGGCTTGGGCGACGGACAATCAGATGCTTCCTCTGAGTCATGGACCAGAGGAAACCTGGAAAGGCATGGATACGGACGGATGAACAAAATGCAACTGCGGGAATGGGGAGTTGGCAAGGCGAGCAGCAGGGCGCTGGGAACTCGCATTGGAACCACATTCCTTGGCCGATTCGGTGAGAACTAGACCCACCATGTATTGACGCAAGACATGGTCTGGTAGCTGTGGTATCCCAGACGGGCTTCTTCGGAATCTGAGGACGATCCGGCAGCTCGACAGGAGTGCTACCCAAGCAATTCATTGTCTGTCTAGGCTCTAGGCCAATTGTGACAGCGAGGGAAATTGAATCGGAACATCATGTGGCATCACTTCCGTCATTTGGGGTGAATGGAATGAATGGTGGTCGCGGTTGGCCAACAGTGGAGTGGGTCTTCGTCCATCCTTGGCTCTGAACGGCGAGTGCCTCGCCCACTGAGGCTCGGCCCGGGGCAGGGAGAGAATTTGGTCGGTCCGGATTGTGAAGGAGTGGGAAACTGGTACCAGAGTCGAATAAGCTTCCAGGGAAACGCGGGAAATGGAAAACACCAATGACGAAAAAAATGAAAGGAAAAGACACATTGGTACACACGCCAGCAGCCAACTGTGCGTTTGGCATGAAGCGTCAACAAGGTGGTGTTCATTGCTGCGCACGGAGGACCTTATGGAGTTGGAAGGAGCATAGGTAGTACGTGTGGCTGACCTGACGTCCCCGGCCCGTGTGGGTGGGGTGTGACCTGATCAGAGGTGGAAGGGCCGTTTTGTGTGGGCCCGACCGCCTTCCAGATCCACCAGACCTTTTCTGCCAACTGCTTAGAATCCAACAGAGAAAGGAAAAAGGAAAAGAAAAAGAAAAAGCCTTGAATTGAATGAACGCCCATACTCGGCCCGCCACACCCACCCCAGCCACTACCCGCCACGCTTACATAATGCAGGCGCATTCCCATCTCACCAGTCGCAATTTCACAGCGATGCCAATTGCCCACAACTGGGAAATGCCTAACAGACTGACCGGGCTGGAGCAGTGGGGCAATGGGAAAGCTTCAGCGCCCCAACGTCCAGATGCGATCCAATGCTCTCACCAACAGCAGAGTATATTGCAGCACCTCTTGCGGACGCCAGATTGGGGCATTATCTTCTCTTTCAATTTTGTCACGCCATTCGTGCGTCGTCAATACCAGCAGCAGATTGCTTCCATCATGTCCGTGACGTAACTGCAGCTTCTGGCACTTGCATCACCGACAGCACCGCCGAGCCGCACCAACCCACCGCTCCTCGCCTACAACACCGTCCCAGTGTAACTGATCTCTGTCTATTTTCAAACCGACTCTCCGAGCTCTCTCTTGTCCGTGAGTTGGACGATACTGCGCAAGGAAAGCACAAGACTCCGATCTTTGCACTTGTCGATTAGGCTATGAAGGGGATAATTGAGTAGGTAGGAAGCTTTAACCAATCCATCTTCCAGGCAGGCTATCCTGAAAAGCCGGTCCAGGAAGGCCGCTGACGTGCTGATGACAGGAATCAACAGAACATCCACGATCCCCCTCTCAACACCAGCCGAACCCGCTGTTTGTTGGACCATTTACTGCCTCACACCTCATCATTTGAAGCCAATGCTCGAGCTGCTTTGCACGCAAATACCGAATTCACTAGAACTTGCAAGTCTGGCTGATCTGTCTATACAGTGAGACCTGGTCAATTTCTGTCTCTTTCACACATGCCACAACAGTCAATGCAGATTCATCTGTCAGCGAGAGTGGATACCGAGGCCCATCAATACCTGTGTTTCCCCTCCGTTACACCGACACCATCTTCAAGTCACAGACAGTGCACCGAGAAGCCGATGCAGTCTCCTAGTCAAAGAACCATCGCCTACTTTGCCAAGCTCCGTCACACGAACACCGGTACAACCTTAGTGAGAGCGAGATACCTATTGTGTCGTGGAGAGAAGGTTTTCGTAGGAGACGATCACAGAGACTCGGCGCTGGAGCGCAAACAAAACCTCTTGAGCTGTTGCCTTGGAGATCAAGGATCAGAGAACAGGGTTCAGGTTGCCCATGCTTCTAGACACGACCTAGGAGTCGCTGGAGTCAGTCGACTTCGGAGATGGAGAGCGTCGTATCACTAAGGCTGGAGGCAAACAAGGATGAGGTAGGAGGTTGAGGCAAATGGCGGGTTTGGGCCCCCGTGTAGACGAACCCTTCTATCTATCTACACCCACAGAGACATCTATGATCTTGGGTTCTGTTCATCAACTTCCTCCCTCCCCTTCGTGTAATCGGCTAATACACAGCTGTTGACCTCGCCGCGACCGAAAAGTGTGCCCTCCCGACTTGTATGCCATTGCAGAGGGAGGGAAGAGCATGCTAGAAAACAGGGAATATGTTCCAATACCCAAGTGACCAAAGTGACTATTAGATGCAGAGCGCTACGACAAATGCCGTTACTTGTTGAGAGGGTTTTCTGGTTATTTTGCGAGCCTTATCAGACTGGTTTCGCCGACATCTGACAGTTGGATTTGGTCAGGGATGGACTGGGCTTTCCATCGAAAACACTGTAAGCTCGAAAGGCGACTTGACACCGAGCTTGAGCTGAAGTTTCAAGTCCTTTATGCCTTTCTTTCGTCAAGCGCTGGCTTTGCTTGGGGTTTTCAGCTGTCCTATGAACGGATGTAAGCTTCCAACAGGTAGGTGGTGTTTTCACAAATGCACAGAAGCCATTGTAGCTTCTTCGTCAGCAGTGGGATCAGCATTAGAACACTTGACAGCTAGATAAACGGGTCCATAGCGTATGGTTGTTGATGCAGAGCAAAAATGGGCCTGGAATTGGAGGTAGAGCATCAGAGATCTCGTTGTCCCTGTATCGCTCATAGTCGATGATATGCGAAAGGTTCCACCCCCGTCCCCATTCCCCCCGCCGGCCATGGTAAGTGACAGACCTTGTGAGACATGAGCAAAGGTCCCCAATTAGTTTCGTATACGAATATAATCTTGCGGTTGACGCTTTTATGTAATGAAAGTCGCCAGGCTCTGGTCATACACCACCAGAACCACCAGAGTCTGGATACTACATACGCCAGGGATTGACATCATGATATGCACATTTTGTGGTTGACTTCCAAAGGCTGGATGGTCTCAGAGACATCGTTTCCTTTTCTAGACAGGTCCCTGTCATTCTACTCATTGTGACCGCAACGCTAGAAATGTCGGTTTATCCTAAACCATGCGCGTTGCTTCTCACTTTCCACTCCTGGTTTGAATGTCCTTCTCCAACAATGACGTTGTGAATTGAGGAACAGCTAACGACAAGACGAGTCACCAGCAAAACAAGTGGCTTCTGATGAAACTAAAGATCATCAAACCAACTTGCAGGACGGACCGAGGTAAAAACAGCATGAGAGATAAAAGGCAACACAGGGAGCTTTGTCTGATCATATCACGTAATCAGCATATGGAACAACACATGGAAATCGGGACCTCAAATGTGGTCTAATCGGTCTATGGAAAAGGGAAAAGGGAAAAGGGAAGCTCTCGTGGGAGCCCCTTTTGTATGCCCTGCCCCTGCTTCCACCGCCTGGTCAACCCCTGACCGACCCCTGGCTGACCCCTGACCTCTTCGTATCATGTGGCGGATCTCGCATCTATCTATTGAGTGATTCCACAACGATGTATCGTGTCGGTTGAGTCAGAAAAGGAGTCATAGCGTTACAGAACGGGGGCAATGATGTTCCTGTGCATGATCGCATTCCACTCACCAAAAGAGCTAACATATATCCTATCATTGTATGTTTATGTCTAGGAAAGGAGCTGATAATAGATCTTCCAGCACTATGTTCTCTCAGCGGCAAGTCGACGGTCTTTGAGGCGTGGCCCAGCAATAGGGATAGCTTGGCACTTGCACTGCAAGAGTCTTTGGCGACAATGCCGAACGCAGTAGAGACAGTTCCGCTGTAGTCGTCGATGATGTCATCCCCTAGACTATCAGGGAAGATGCGTCCCAACTCCCATGGCAATGATGATACTTGCACTTCATCAGGCTGAGTATCTCAAGTGCGTACCATGATTACATACATGAGCATGAGCATCGCATCATACTCTCACATCTGAGCTCTCGTACACAGATTCCCTAGCTAGGTCTCGATTCGAATGATGACATCTCTGTAAACGATACTTCAAACTCTGTGGAGCTTTGGCATTGGCGGTTATGGTCACTCATGTCTACTAAAACTATGCGGAGAAAGGTTGTTAAATCTCTCGTAAGAGGCAGGAGGAGCTGCTTGGCCAAGTCTGCTAAACACTCACAGCTATTCAATCTTAATCTCGACAAAGATCATAGCCAAAGAGGAATTCAGCAGTATTCTATCTGCCCTTGCCGTACTTGTTCACAAGATGCTCCAGTCAGGCTGATCAGGATTCATCTACCAGCTCAGGGCTGTAGTCCAAAGTACTATGATCACACAGCTTTAGGCCGTAGCATGATGAAGAGCCATTACTGATCAGATGGCATGAACCAAAACCTCTCAGTCACGCGATGCCTGGCATGAACGGAGGGGTCCGGTCAAACAAGAAGTCTCTATACCCGCTGTCTTGACCTGTGCCATCAGGGTGGAGTGCCACGCCACTTTCAACTGTATATCAATCTGAATGGAAATGTCAGATTGATTTGCCTGATTATCCCTCGGGATTACCGTGAATCTTCTAGCAGTTCACTTGCTTGCGTCCTAGTGCAAGGCTCCGATGAGTGGAAACATCACAAAACTCACGGAGATTAAGTTGAATAGAGTATTTTCAAGTGTTGTCACTTACAGGAGATGCGGTGTTCTAGTGGGTGGCAACGACGCCTTTCAAACAATGAACTATTTTTCAAACAGTCGCATCACTGAGCTGAAGGATCGAAAGAGGCGAAGACGGGGAGCTGGAATCCCTCCCACCAGGTCTCAAGAACCCAATTCTGAATCAAGCGGTTCGTCAGTACAAGTTTAGAACCAGGAGCCAGGTCGCGTTGATACAATGGGACCTACGGCGGGATGTATCCGTGCCCCTAACTCCATCGATATTGCTCCGATGCATTGTTGTCTTCCTGGATTCGTCTGTATCTGCATTTGGAATCGCCCTCTGCATTGTGGTTTCTGCTTTAGTATGTGTAAGATTGCTGATATGTTTGGGTATCCCCGACCGAAAGATCCATCTTTGTTGAACTTCCTTTAATGAGACTTGAGACCACCCGCAACGTTCCATCTCTTGATCCCGCGTCCGTGAATGAATCATCTATGTAAGTAAAAAGTTGTTATGAAGTCAATTTGGGCAAGGGAGCCGCCTTGTTCGATACAAGTCTAGCTAACCGAGCACCCACCCCCAAAGCTGGAGACCTGATGGGTTTGTTCACTGTCGCCCCCCATCCTGGTGGAATGAGAAAAGAGACACCGCAAAGACGATATGTTAAGCCTAATTATTGAGCAAGAGAAAGAAATGAGCAACATGAGAGACGGCGTAAACCGATCTCCAACAGGGTATATTCAGGGGAATTGAAGAGCCGTGCCAGATTACCTTTCTCCGTTGTTGTGACATCCACGGAGTCTCGTAGGAGATGGCCGATGGCCAAGGTTCGCAATAGCTCAAGCGTTTGAACAGGTGTGTATGAAAGAAGACCCAAGTTTGCTGATACCGGGTGACCCTTATGCGGGAAATAATTGTCCAAAAGTACTGGAAATGCCGACACAATGCAGAGGCCACCAAGCTCAGTATAATCATGGTATCTGGAAGCTCTCGGGGTACCGATGGCTTCAACGACTATGACCATGCCACCGCTCCATTGAATCCGATCTCGAACATCTGTTGCGGCTTCTCTTCCAGCCACGCAGGCCTTCAGTCTTGCGACTGATCTGCGCAACGTTCCCATCTCTCTCCGCACCCAGACTCTTAGAGACATCTGCACCTCACGAGGCCGCGTCTTGTTGCAGTCGCGTCCAATCAGTCTGGGGGAGTAAAAGGAGGCCAGGATGCTCTTATAGAATCTGTCTTGGATATACCTGGACTGGGATTATGCTGCAATTCGTGTCTCAGAGCTGCGGCAACCTTGACTCGTCTGTACGACAGACCCAACAAGATCGGGGATAGTGATAACATCAGGGCCCCTGGGCATAGATAATATATTTGACGTAATACTCGGTCTTAGTTTTGTCGGTGTCTTTCAAGACACCTTGATCTTTCACAATGTTAGCATTTAGGCATTGGTGGTGGCTGGACTTTGCTGGCTTATCAGGATAATGATGACACTTAGAGACGTCCTGATGAATACGCACGTTCCCAAGACACTTCATCCTAGAGCCGGCATCACCTCAAAATATCTCTCATTCTGCTATCTCGTGATGTTTCGTTTTGTCCAAGCGTATCATGACTGAACCGTGTCTTCCAGCGGAGCATAAGAAAAGTTTTCAACTTCTGAATTCCCGACAACCGCCCCTATTACTTATGTAACGGAACGAAGCTCATGTAGGACAACGGAGACGCAACTAAAAGCAATGCCAATGATGAATTACTGTCAGTTTACTGCTCGGATTGCCGTTGACTGTTAGTAGCGACGCTCAGCCTTTCTCGGCTTGTACCAGCATTTTCATTTCCTGTTCCATCCCCAATCTCCAAAGCGGAGAATCATACAGGAGCTTGAGTTCCTTGAGCCCGTAGTCTGAGACGTCAGGTAGCTTTTGTCACATACATGAATCTTGGATGTAATTTTCTGCCGTAATGGTCACCTTGGTTGTTTGCATACCCTCAACGGTGCCAGCCTCGTTCTCTGCGTCTTGGTTGTCAGAACAAATACACCAACTATCTCCCCATTACCTCAGTTATTTCTGTTGCCGACCTAACCATTCTTTATTGCCTTTCTCAGATACACAAATACCAACGGGGATCCCTTCACTATGAGATTGTTAATGGCACGCTAGCAGTGAGATACCAGCTGAGCACTTTCACGGCTGGCCACATCGGTGGCAGGCTAGTGTCAAAGGGGAGGAGAAGATTCTGATCTTGTGAAATGGAATCAGAGTACTATGTTTTCCACATGAATGACTAGGATAACTAAGACGATCCAGAAACGAGACTGGGAAGGCCACCTTTGACGTTCGTGGTAGAGATCGCATTGTTACCCTCGATGTGGTCTGTGATGA